GGCTCATCTATAAATCATTTCTATAGTGGCCAAATGGTTCTTCTTCATGCAGAGAAACTAAAATGACAAAATCTCAAACCTCAGCTCTTGCACTAAGCCAAAGGTCCTTAGCAACGAGCAAGAAGAGGTATGATAAAATCAAATGGTCAGTACATCGTGTTTCTAAAAAAATTTCTCTTTTTTTCCCCCTAAATCAAAGACATGTTTCTAAAGGCAAGAAGCCTCTAGGGCACAGGCTGCCAGCCTGGCTCACTGTCCCCAGATGGCCTTGGAGACAAAAAGGCAGTCATTGTGGGCTGTTCCTGCTGGTTCCACCTGCAGAATGGGACACAGGCCTCTGCTTTGGCTCCCATCCCGACTCCTCACCCTCAGCTCCCCATTCAGAGAGGAAGAGAGGGAGCGAGGGAAGGAGGGAGAAGAGAGATGGAGCAAGAAACATTCTCCTTCCAAACTTCAGGTCCAGCTAAGAAGGGTGTCCTGGTCTTTACTTCTACCTTAGGGCAAATGCACTACCATTTGCTACTTCTTCACACAGACTCCCCACCTTCTGCTCCCCTCTCATACCCTCTTTTTTAAAAAAATTATTTATTTTTAGACAGAGGGGAAGGGAGGGAGAAAGAGAGGGAGAGAAACATCAATGTGTTTCTCCTTTGTCTCTACTGGCCCACAACCCAAGCATGTGCCCTGACTGGGAATTGAACCAGCGACCCTTCGGTTTGCAGGCTGGTGTGCAATCCACTGAGCTACCCCAGACAGGGCTCATACCCTCTTTACAGACCCATTGCCACCCATCGCTTCCCTGCAGATGCCGTCTTCCCCATCGCTTCCCCACAGTTGCCACTCCCTCCATCCTCTCCACATAGACCATCTTTTCCCCATCTCCTTCCTGCAATATCTGCCTTCATCCTCTCCCCAGATATGCCCTCATTTTCCACCCACAGACTCCACTTTTCCTCCCCCCAGCCTGACGTCTGCCCCCAAGTCCACTCGGCAGATCTGCCTTCATGCTCTCTGCACAAAATGTAACTCACTAGGGTCAACTATAACCGACCTACCCACATTCTCACCCTTCATTGCTCTACGCTTCATCTTCCTTGACCTGATTTCCTACATTTCCTTCCCTTCCCAACGTTCTTATTTTCCCCTGAAAGCCTTTGTTCCAGAAAAGTTCCTCTACCTTGAGCTTCTCTACAATCTTTCTGGCTACCTTCAGCCAGCCCTGAAAGCTGCCTCCGTCCCAGGGCGCCACTTCCGCATAGCCCTTCCTGGTGGAGGCTGCTTATACGGGTATAATGTCTCCTCACCAAAGCCCAACCTAGTTCCTTAGTTTACCACCTTCTTGTAAAAACCTTTGCTACTTTGACGGTCATGCTATTCAGCTGTATTGACCTTTATCCCTCCTCACACTGTCACCTACAGATTTCAGAACAATCTGCTCTATTCATCAGGAACTTCGGTGCCTAGTTCACAAGCATCCTCTTCCCTTTTCCCTCAAGTCCTGCCATCATCCAGGAGGATTTCAGTGGCCATGTCTATGCCTTGAATGTCTTCTGTCCTCCACTCCAGCCAACTACGCCCATGGCCACACCTGGGACCTATTCATCACCTGGAACTAATCAAACATCATTACTCCACTTTTCGATCATAACTCTCATCCAACTATTTTCGAGATATGGGTTTTCTGACTTCATTGGGACTCCAGTCCTTAATATTTTTACACTGTCCTATGCAGTTTAGGTTCTAAGGTTCATCCTCTCAATCTTTGGCCAGGATTTTCAACTTCCTTGTCCTTCGTCTTTCTATTTCACCCACACGCTATAACCCAAACCTCGGTCAATTCAGCTAACCTCTCTATCCACCACTGAATGGCTGAATATTGTTGGAGGAAAGATACATATCATATAACCACCCAGACCACTGCTGCTGCAAATTAACCGTTACCATCCTCAATAGGTCTCATAACTGCCCAGAACCCTGTATGCTGCCTCTGTCATCTCGTTCCCATTCTCAACCGCAGCTGTTTCAACCTCTCTCTGCTCTTTTCAAACCCTGTATCCCATCTCCAACCCTACTCCACAGGCTGATATCAGGTCCCGGTTTTACAGAGAAAATAGAAACCATCAAATAAGAATTCTCTCAACTTCTTGCCACCAAACCGACTAATGTACTAATCTCACATGCTTCCTTTTTGTTACAATGCAAATGTCATCCAACTTTTCTAAGTGAACCTCTCAACCAGTGCTTTGGATTCTCTACATTATTTTTTTTTCCCCAGGGTTGCCACTTTCTCAGTTAACTTTTTCTCTATAATTTTATCTTTTTCCTTTTGCTGGATCCATGCCAACAGCATTTTTTCATCTAAAAAAAAAAAAACCTTGTGTTTCCTTCCAGCTATTGCCATCTTTCTTTTTTGTCCTAAAGAGCCAGCCATCTTGAAAGTGTATTGTACATGCAGTCTTCACTTCCTCATTTTTCTACCTACTTCTCAACTCACTAATTTGACCTCTGCTTCCAGTACTCCACTGCCACTGCATTTACAAAACTCACCAACAAATTCCTTGTTCCTAAATCCGGTGGATTTTTTCAAAACTTATTTTATTTGACTAGCCATCAGCCTTTATATCGTCCCCTGGCTTCTGAAATACCATGTTCTACTACTGATTATCTTACCATTCTGGACACTTAGCATCTAAATTACCTTTGCAGATTCATTCTTATTTGCCAGACCCTCAGACTTGAGTGCTTCTCAGCGATCTGTTCTCAGCCCTCTTCTCTTTTTATTCTACAAATACTCTCTGGGCTAGCCCAATAAATCAGTCCACTGGTGTGGCTGCCATCTGTGAGGCACTACAGACTACCACATTTCTATTGCCAGTTTAGGCTTATCTTGTAAGCTCCAGTCAGGCATATTCAGCTGCCTCCTGGACACCTCTGCTTGGATGTCTCACTGTCACCTCAAATTCACCAGGCCCAGAAATCACCCTCCCCTGAAAACCCTGCTTCCTCTCCTTTATGTTTGCCCAAGTCAGGAATGTAGAAGTCACCCTTCCTTTCTCTACTGTGCCCCACCAGGTGCCAAGTCCAGTTTTTTTTTTAAGCTCATAAGTGTCTAAGGAATCCATCCCCTCATCATTCCTGCTACCTTTCCATGCTTTAGGACACTGTAATCCTTGCCCATTACTGAAACAACTTCCTAACTGGTCTCCCTCCTCCCACTCCCCAATCCGTTCTCTGCATTGATCTTTCTAAAGCATAAATGATCGTTACTCTTCTTCTAAAGCCCTGCAATGACTCCTCACCGCCCTCAGGATAAAATTTAAGCTCTTGTATTCATAAGAAATACATTGGAAAATTTTTACCATCAGCTAAGATCTACCTATAAATTCAAAACTAAGCTTGGCATTAGAGAACCTCCAGGATCGGAGCTAACTGTTCTTCCAACGTTACTCTCACATTAGTATCTCCTACGGCCAGAAGATGCTCATAATATATGGCATTCCTCAGTTTTCCCTTTTGAGCTCCTGCAAAGAGTCCTTTCCCCTCCATATATCCTCGAGTCTTTCAAGGTCCACTTCAAGAGCCAGCCCTAGTGTCATAATTGTCCCTTCAACACTTTCTGAGCTCACGGAAAATTAGAGTTCGTTTTCTTCTCCTTTTAAGACTTAGGTCAAAAGCTTAGTCCTTACTACTGCTCACCTACACAATAAGTGCTCGGTAAACATGTGTTAAGTGCATGGGTAAATGTAAAAAAAAAACCCCAAACAACGAAACACCTCACCTGTATTCCCTGACCCCTTTGTGTCCCCCACGAACAGAGCAATCTCTAAAGTCTTCACCTGCAGTTTTCCCCACTGCCTCCTACCCACCCCACCATGTAGAATATGCCTCACCCCACTGGGTGGAGGATGGGCCCGCACGCGCTTACTAGACCGTTTTGTGCGGTTTTCTACCTCTCCTTCGGAGCTGCGATAGTAGGGGATGGCAAAGTTAGCTAGATGTTGTAAATCAAAGGGCACTGTCGTCCACTCCGTAAGAAAAGGCAGGGTTGAGAAGTGAGACCATCACCATTCCCAGAATACAGCAACACTCCTCACAGACCCTCTTACCTACACAGGAGGGTGAGGACTCTTCCTTACTGTCCTCCCAGTTGACCAATACTTGACCCACATCAAGCGAGTCAGCCAATGATTGCGAGCCAGGGATAGAGCGGGGCGGGGCATGGTTGCTAGGGCCGAGCTTGTGGGGTGCGGCGAGAGGCTCTGAGAGAAACTCCGTAGTTGCTAGGGTGAGAGGTCACAGAGCGCGCTCAGGGATTGGGTAGCGTCGGAGGCGGTGGGTGGTAATTGGGCGGTGCCCAGAGGGCCCTGGTGAGGCGCGCGCGCGGGAGCGCGCGAGCGCGGGAGTTCCGGCGGGAGGACAGTGCCGAAGGCCGGCACCTTCACCATGCCCTCGGCTGAGCTGGACTACACCATCGAGATCCCGGATCAGCTCTGCCGGAGCCGGGGTATGGAAGGAGGGTTGGGTCCAGTCGCGGGGAGGTGACCAAACGAGTCTGTAGGTCGGAAGCGCAGCTGTGGCTCCGCCCCCTCGCGGCCCCGCCCTCTCGCGGTCAGCCCTCTCACAGGGTCCGGGGGTCTTAGACAACGTCCAGACCAGAGAGCCCCGCCCCCTTGTAAGCCCCGCCCCGGAGTGCTCAATCTGTCGGAGCCCCTATCCTGCGTCCTCTGTTCAGTTGGGGCCTTTTCCCCTTATCTTTCCAATCGGAGTTTTTTAAGTCCTTGCCCTCTTTTTTCTCATGGTAGCTGAAAGCCGGGGAGGGCAGGGGCTCTTCTGATTCCTTTGTTTAGGGTCGGGTTTCCCACTTCTAAACTCTCTTCGGCTGTTCGGCTAGAGATCCCCTCACTATTTTCTCGGGGTCTTCACTGAAGCCCGGGACATATAACCCTTATCCCTCTCTCCTCCCCACTCTCCATAGCTGTGGTTAACAGAGTAGGCCCTACCGTCAGATAGAAGTCAGTTGTCAGTTTACATCCTGATTCCTTCCTTTAGTAGCCGGGTGACCTTCGGCAGGGAACTGACCTTCTGTTCTTCTGAACTTCAGTTTCCTCATATGCAAAACTAGGGTACTGATAGTGGCCTCCCTCACAGGGTTGTTGGTTGCACAACAGATTGTGTTAAGGACCCAGCATAGTGCCTGGCGTGGAGTGAGTTTAATGATTAGCATTATTTTCCTCCCTACAGTCATATCAATAAAGGTGTGTGGGACGCTTCACTAACGTTAGTAGCCTGTAGAGCAGGCCTGGGCCCCTGGCATTGTGAGTAGGATTGGGGATTTTCCAGAGAATGGAAAATTGGGCCCTACCTGGGAGTTTTGGTAGAGGAGCCTTGAAGTACAAGTCGGTCCAAGCCCAGCCTGTCTCTCCCCTGCAATACTCCATATCGCCTTCACGCCTCCAGTCTCACTGCCAGCAGCTCAGCCTCGTCTTGCTAACACAGTGATCTTCCTAATGCAAAAGTTTGATCTATCACTGCTCTGTGTAAAACCCTTCAGTGGCTCTTATTGCCCTCAGGATAAATCAAGTACGATTCCTTAACATGGCATTCAAAGTCCTTCATAATTTATCAGCCCCTGCTTACCTCTTTGGTCACTATGTCCTTCCACTTGGCAATTTGAATTTTATGTTCTGGCAACTGAACTGCTTGTGATTCTCCACACATTTCTTGCTTCTCTGCCTTTGCTCCTGCTGTTTTCTCTGTCTGGAATGCCCTTTCCCCTCTGCTGCCCCACGCTGCCCCCTTGCTCGTTCCGCTCATCATTTAAGGCCTAGTTCAGATGTTGCCTCCTTCAGACCCCCTCCTGTAGCACCTTGTGTTCCTTGCTTTCGGTCTGAGAGGGAAGGGCAGGCCCTGGGCTCCCAGAGAACAGATGGCTGTAGACTGGCCATATTTCCCCAGAATTGGGCTCAGGGAAACCTGATCTGTTTGGCTTAGGCAAGTTTTGACAGCAGCAGGAGAGGAAGCCAGTTAATATTCTTGTCCTTGGAGAGACTTCAGCTGCAAAGGGCTGGAGCTGACTTCTGCATCACCAGGACGGCAGAAGTTCTCTGTCAGCCCAGGTGGGTAGCCTGGTGGTCTTGGTTTATATTTCAGATCTACCTCCTATTGGTTCTGTGGCTCAGCAAGTTGTTGAACCTTTCCACGCCTCAGATTTCTCCACTGTAATATGGGAATTATAATAGTGCCTACTCCAGGGGGTGTGAGGGTTAATAAGATAGTGACTGAATGTGTGCGCTTGGCACGTTGTTGGTGTATTTTCTCTGCTTGTGGCTCCCCTCATTGCTTGAGGAGACTGGGTCGTAGAACTGGAAGAAATCTTGGGGGTCATTTTGTTCTGCATTCTTCTACTAGTATGAGGACATTCTGTTGCTACCAGACCCTTTCCTGACAGGTTGCTTCCTCCCCAACATCCTGGCCTGTTGGAGGCAACTGGGATTGTTAGAAAGCACTTCCCTTTCTTGAGCCACATATTCCTTCCTGTCATTTCTTCTCTCAGTTCAGTATTTGCTGGGTTCTGGCCATGGGTTTGCTGCGGGTGCCTCAGAAGTGACTCACACACAGGCTACCTTCAGGGAGCTGTGGTTTTGGGAAGGGGTGAGGTTTATAAGCAGCTGGTTTCACAATGATGTGGTAACTGGAGGGCTAGAGGGTCATGGTGGCTACAACAGAAATCTCTCTTCCTCTCTCAAGAGGACAGCTTCACGCCATCGTCAAACCTCTCGTCTCCCAGAGAGATCCCTCCAGGGCCTTCAGCTGTCCCTCCTCTGATGTAGTTCTAATAGCTTCCGCCTCCTGATTGCTCCTCTGGACTGGCTTTAGCTCATCATGCCTTTCCCTCAAAGTATATACCCCAGAGCTGAACTGGAGGGTGCTGCATCCCTCAGAAGGGGGCAACAGCGCCGTGATCCCCTGAATCCGTTTGCTTCTCATCTGCAGAGAGCTCCCTTCCAGGCTGACATTGCTTCACACAGTGACAGTCTTTGGGGACCCCGGAGATTGTCCTTTTGCATTTACTATTTAATGGTGGGGAAGTATGTAGGACAGTCATATTTGGTTTCTGGAATTGTTTTCCCCTCATTTCGAACATCAGAACCACAGAGCCCAGCACGGTAGTGATTGACAGCGAGGTGAGGAGCTGCTGGCACATCAGTGAGCTGGAATGCAGCCTCCCCACCCCGCCTTTATACCTTTATACCAGCTCCCATGTCATATCCTTGGGGAAATCCTTTGTCCCAGGCTACCTCATTCCTGAGCTTTTTCTTTAAATTTTTATTTATTGATTATAAAGGAAAGGATATGGAGAGAAAGAGAGAAACATCGATTTTGTTGTTCCACTTATTTATGCATTCATTGGTTGATTCTTCTATGTGCCCCGACCGGAGGTTGAACCTGCAACCTTGGGTTTTCGGGATGATGCCCTACACAACTGAGCTACCTGGCCAGGGCTGACGTGCAGATTTCAGTTGCCATTAGGAAGTGTTGCTTGAATACAGTTCCATTACTAGGTAACAATTAAGGACCTGCACAAAGAAAGAGGTGTTCATGAAAGTATTTTTATAATAGCAAAAAATTGGGAACAACATCATGTCTATTAATGAGAGATTGGTAACCATAAATTATGAAATATTCTATAGCTGCTCTGCAGTTGCTAAAAAGAATGGTGTAGAAATATATAAACTGACAGGGAGAGATGTTCACAATATATTGCTAAATCAAAGAAAGCAGATTACAAAACAGTATGATTCCAATTTTATTAGATATTCATTTTCTCCTTTTCTACAATGAGCATGCATTCCTCATGAAGTAATAATAATAACTTCGATTTATTGAACTTTTTCTTTATGCCAGGTACCTTTATAGTCATTATTTTATTTAATCTTTTGTATTATTATCCTCATTTCACAGATAAGGAAATTAAAGCTTAGAGAACTTGCTCAAGATCTGTTTCATAGTTATTAGGGGCAGAGCCAGAGATTTGAACCTAGATATGGTTTTATGCAGTGTGTACTCTTAGGTATTGTGCTACTCTCTTATGCTGTTATTTAAAAAAGTAAAAAAACAAAAGTAAATTTTAAATAACGTGGTTTAAATGTAGGAACTGTGAGGCTCTCGGAAATATTTCTGAGGAGTTGACAAATTTGAGTATCCTTTTATTCTTCACATTTTAAAAAGAAAACATAGGTTCTTTGTATCTTGATTCTGGCTCACAGATAAAAAGCACATAATGTGCCACAGACTCTTAATGCCTTGTCAGCTTTCCTTTGTCGTCTCTGAATGCCTCCAGGGTATACACAATCTAATTTACGCTTCAGTTTTATGACTTGAATTGTTGTACAATATGTGTATCTGTAATTCTTGTATTATTGGTGTCAGTGTTTTGTTGAGAAATTCTAGAGGACAGGGAGCTTGTGAGATTAAATTGTCTTGTGGGGCGCCGAGCAAGTGCCAGTGTTGAAAGGAACACTTCTGCCTGGGCAAGGGCTTCTGGGCAAATGACCTCTTTGACTTCTCAACTCCTTTGGCTCTCTGGAACACCTTCGCCTACCTTTTTAAAAAATAACATTTTAACTCTCCTTACAAAAGCGATACATATTGTTTACAGAAAATGTATTAAAAAATCATGAAAAAAACAGTTGCCTCTAATCCCAGAAATAATTGCTATTAATATTTGATGTATTTTTTCTGTGCATATATGTTTGTGTGCATACACATATATGTATTCTGTTGTTCATACCGCTCACTTTTCAACTTGCTTTTGCACTTAATGTATGTTACTTTTTTATTTAAAATTTTTCTTTTATATTTTATTTATTTATTTTTAGAGAGAGGGGAAGGGAGGGAGAAAGAGTGGGAGAGAAATGTTGACTGGTTGCCTCTCACACACCTCCAACTGGGGACCTGGCCGGCAACCCAGGCGTGTGCCCTGGTCGGGAATTGAACAGGTGACCTTTTGGTTCACAGGCAGGGGCACAATCCACTGAACCACGTCAGCCAAGGCTTAATATTACTTTTTAAATGAATAATAGCATTATTTTGTACCATAAAATTAAGGCTTTTGAAATGTACAACTCATTGGTTTTTAGTATATTCACAGAATTGTGCAGCCATAGCCACTGTCTAATTCCAGAATATTCTTACCACCTCAACCTGAAACCCTGTGCCCATTAGTACTCCCTGTTCTCCCTCCCTCCAGCTCCTGGCCACCGCTGATCTACCTTCTGTCTATAGATCTGTCTATTCTGGACATTTCATATAAATGGAATCATACAATATGTGGTCTTTTGTGGCTGGCTTCTTTCACTTAGCATGTGTTTTCAAGGTTCATGCATGTTGTTGCATGTATCAGCACTTCATTCCATTTATGACCAAATAGTATTTCATTGTATGGATATATAACATTTTGTTTATCCGTTTATAGGTGATGGACATTTGAATTGCTTCTCTTTTTGGCCATTATGAATAATGAGGTTACGAATGTTTGTGTGCTGTTTTTTGTTTTTTTTTTGTGGACATATGTTTTCACTTCTTCTGGGAATTTGTACCTGGGAGTGAAAGTGCTGGGTCATTTGGTAACTCAATGTTTCTAATTTTTTTGAGGAACTGCCAAACTGCTTTTTGAAGTGACTGAATCTTTTTACATTACAGCGGTATATGAGGGTTCTGATCTCTCCATATTCTCACCAGCACTTGACTCTCTGACCTTTTTTATTTTAACCAGCCTAGCGGGTGTAAGGAGGTATCTCTTTGTGGTGTTGCTTTTCATTTCCCTAATGCCTAGTTGAGCATCTTTGCATGTGTTTATTGGACTTCCATATATCTTCTTTGGAAAAATGTCTCTTCAAGTTTTTTGCCCATTTTAAAATTGGGTTATTTGTCTTTTTATTGTTGAATTGTTAATAGTTTTTAATATATTCCGGATATAAGCTCCTTATCAGATTATGATTTGCAAATATTTTCTCCCATTTTGTGGGTTTTTTTTTTCAGGACACTTTTGATGGAGTCTTGTAAAGTACAGAAGTTTTTAATTTTGATGAAGTCCCAATTTATCTTCTTTTTCTTTTATT